GTCATTTAGTAGAGTGTGTGCTGATTAATCCAGGCAGAGTGTTAATACAGGAGATGGGAACAGATTAAATGGCGTACATTAACAAATATTGCCACCACTTGAAACACACACACACTCCAAACGTGTGTGTGTGTGTGTGTGTGTGTGTGTGTGTGTGTGTGTACTCACTGTTAGCCAGTAGCTGTTGCTGCTGTTGGAGTTGTTGTTGATTGACCGCTCCGATGGCCGGCCCCCTCCCGCTCCCTCCACCTGCCGCCACTCCACCTCCTCCTCCTCCTCCTCCCGCCACTCCGACCTGTGCTCCTCCGCCCCCCCCTCCCCCTGCACCTCCTCCACTGTGGGCTCCAGCAGGGGGGCTGGTGAGACGCTCCTTATCCCAGGAACACTCACTCCCTCCTGGACGCAGAAACACAGAGGGTCCGATGTTCAGACATAAAACATGAGGTCGTCGATGCGATCAAGTCTTAATCACGTTAACGTCTTTTAAGAAACCAGCTCAAGGTCCCCAGACAGATGAGGCAAAAAATGTTTTGACCTTGACCTTTGACCCTTGAACACCAAAGTGTAATCAGTCTGTGAGTCCAACTGAACGTTTGTTGTTGTGAGAAATCACGTTAAAAACAAGAATCCTCTCTACGAAGTAAAATCACCAACGTTGTGAACACGTATTTTTTTTAAGTAATTGGATTTCAATCACTAAATAAAAGTGTATTATGATATTTATAGTCATTGTCAGAATATTTGTACCTTCAGCTTTTTGTTTTCTGTTCGCTCACTTTCTCTCCTTCGTTCCTGCACTGTCTCTCTCTCTCTTTTTCCCTCTGTGTAACGCTACCTCTCTCGCCCTCCACACTTTTCTCGCTCCGCTCCCCGCTTCCCTCTCTCATCCATCTTCATCTCCCTCCATTAGTTTGAATTAGCAAACGTCTCTCTCTATTATTGCCTACTGAATTCCCTGTGCTGTGTGTGTGTGTGTGTGTGTGTGTGTGTGTGTGTGTGTGTGTGTGTGTGTGTGTGTGTGTGTGACAGCTGGACCTCATCCTCTCTGCCATTTACACCAGGGAAGAAAAGAAGTATAAACAGATGGGCAGATGTTCTGTCTCTCTCTCCTCTCTCATTTTTCCTTGGCCTTGTCCTCTCCTTCCTTCCCTCCCCTCCATCACTCCTTTCCTTTCTCCATTCCATCCTCTCCTTCCCTCCCTTCTCTTCTTCTTTGCCTCTCTCTCTTTCCCTGCCTCGCCATCCTCTCCTCTCCTTCCCTTCTCTACTTCTTATTCTTTCCTTCCCGTCTCTCTCCACTCATCTTCGCATTGACACAACATCCTTGTTTTGAGCGACCCTGAAAATATTCTGTTTCCTAGACAAAGAAAAATGTTAAAACAATTTGTTTTAAAAAAAAAATTTTTTTAAATCACAGCCTCTTCAGGAGTTTTGATTGATCCTAATTTTTCACACGTTACATATTTAAAAGTCTGAGGTCTGAGTTCAGAGGCTGCAGCTCAGATGTGTTTTTTTTCTTTGTACCTTTTTGTTGACGAGGCTGCAAAGTTGTAAGTTGTCAAGTTTCTCCTCTAAAAGTTCCGCCATTGATTCAATTTCTTCCTCTTGTGATTCTTGAACTATTTTCTACACTGCCCCCCCATGGTTTCCACTGTTACTGCTCCATTTCGTGTATTTCGTACGTATTCACCAGTTTATAGACGACGTGTTAAAATACAGATGAAATGAACGCAGAGTACGGACCGAGGGCTCCGTACGTTTCAGCGTAAAACAGCCTTTAATCGCTCGGATGCAGAATTAGTCACCAGGAGAGAAAAAGCTCGTTCAGGAAACTGATTTTGTGAAATGTGTATTCTTAGTTAGAGCTAAACTTTCTTTATCTTCCTTCAATCGTGTTTCACACATTCTCCTGATTTTGTGCTTCGATCTCTTTTCTCTTGTTTCTATAAAGAAAAGAAGAACAGATAAAAAAGACGGAGGAAAATCCAGAGCGATCAACTTTCACTCATCAAAATATCAGTTTCTTTTTTTTCTCTCTTTACTCGTCCTAAATACGAGTCTGTTTCCTCCCCTCCGCTGTCCTCCCTCACTTTATTTTCTTTTTCATTCTACACTTGCTCCTTGCTGCTGTATTGTCCGACGCAGTTTCCCAGGCCGTGTCCGTTACAAACAAAACAAGGTCAGACAACGAGGGGGAGAAAACAAAAATCACTCTGAATGAAATAAAAGACGAAGAATGGCAGGAAATAAATAATAATAAAGAAAAAAAACAACAGAGTGAAAGAGAATAAAACGAGAGAATAGGGGAGGAGTAACTCTATCAGCCCAGTTTCCAGGTCAGCGGAAGAAAAGGAGGAAGAGAAAGAAAAATAGAAACAAGAGAATCGGGCTGGAAACAGAAGGAAGGAGTGCTCTCTCTCTCTCTTTTTTTCTTTCTTTTCTCTTTGCTTTTTGTTTTCTGTCTTTTTAATAATTCAGAGACGCAAACACAGCAGAGATGGTGTGTGTGTGTGTGTGTGTGTGTGTGTGTGTGTGTGTGTGTGTGTGTGTGTGTGTGTGTGTGCTACCTGTGTTGGAGTGCAGGTCGTCGTTGTCCGACTCGTTGCCGTTCTGGAGACTCATCATCATCTTCATCTTGTGAAGCTTCTGGAGCTCGGCCATGGCTGCTGCTGTCAGGCCTGTGAGACACACACAGACACACACACACACACACACACACACACACAGACACACACACACACACACACAGACACAGACACACACAGACACACACACACACACACACAGACACAGACACACACACACGGTTATCTTCATCATCATCACATCATCTTTAGCAGAACATACCAGCGACCAGTATTTAATCACCACCACCTGTCACAGTTAACCAATCACAGCCCTCCTTTGACCGTGGACCACACAGGTGCGGCCTGCTTTTACCCATGATGCTTTGCAGCGGGCTGTGACACACATACTGACACCCCTCGCGCGGCTGCCGCTGTCAAATTTGTCTTTTCAGTGTGAGCGTTTTGTTCAAGTGTTTCGGGGTGTGAGCGCCGTTTCAGACGCCTCCAGGCTGATGTATATCCACTGATACACACACGGTGAAAAACAACGACACACACATTACACACACACATAACACACCCACACATAACACGCATCACACGCACACTCTTTTGTATGGACTAAGATCCCTGGCTCTGCGCACTGACCTGGAACTGACTTCTATACACAACAACCAGCAGAGTGAGAGAGTTGACCCTCTGTGTGTGTGTGTGTGTGTGTGTGTGTGTGTGTGTGTGTGTGTGTGTGTGTGTGTGTGTGCGCACCATATTGTGTAAATGTACATGTGAGTTGTTACCATGCAGTGAGTGTGTATGTACAGTTGGCTTTCATGTATAAATGGGTGTGTATGTGTGTGTGAGGGAATGCATGCTTATCTGTGCATTCTTCTGTGTGTGTGTGTGTGTGTGTGTGTGTGTGTGTGTGTGTGTGTGTGTGTGTGTGTCAGTTGGTTTTGCCCCAGTCACGGTTGACGGCCTTGTAGGAATGTCCATTACACACATACACACACACACACAGTACAGTCGTCTGTGAGCTTTAAAGAAAACAAGATAGAGGGAGGAAAGAGAGAGGGACGGAGGGATTGTCTGATATTGAATTTAGTTAAAGATTTACATGAAAAACTTTATTTATCTTTAGAGTCTTTCAGTTTTCATTTATCTCACGTTACTTCTTTTGTCTCGTCTGATTGACGGACACGATGAACTGCAGCTTATTGTTCATATTATCTGAATATTTAAATATGTGGATTATTTTTTGGACAAATATCAGTGTTTGATAAATAATTCATTACTTTTATTATTTTATTTTGTATTTTACAAAATAAAGTGTGTGTATATGTTTTAATATTTTTTCCATCAAATATTTTGTTATATGTGTGAATCTAAAAGCTGAATGCTAAATGGACCTAAATGAATAAGAAAATAATTCCAGAATCCACCGTTAACTAACGAGAAAAGAAAAGAGAGAAAGAAAAGAAGAGAGGTCCAGTCAAAGAGCCTGAGGCAGAGTGACCAGACGTATTGTCTGACGTCCTGCTGAGGATTAAATGAAGAAAGATGTCGGAGGAAAAGAGGCCAAATAAACAACAAGATACAATCTGCTGTAAATAATAAGTGAAGGTATATTCTATACGTTTTACTATGTGTTAAAGATGGAGGGAAGAAAACCAGGCTGAGGAGGAATGAAATGAGATGATGTGAGAGATGACGGAATGGACAGAGAGAAGCAGGATTGATGTGAGGGAAAGAAAAATCAGGAAAGAGGGAGACAACAAGATAAAAAGATGAAAAAGCAGAGAGGGAAGTAAGAGAGCGAGAGAAGACGTCAGAAAGAAAAATGAGTGACGGAAAGAAGTGGGATGAATGAAGAGGAAGAGGTCAAATGGATAAAAGTGAGAAAGGGTGAAAAAAACAGGCCTTTAGTGTTTTAAATGTACGATGTAGAAATTATTTGTCTGCAGCTATAATTTGTCCGAGTTTATTCCTGAAACAGACGATTTCTAGATTCATTAATTCAACTTTGATCCAATAAAGTCGTGAAAATATCTTGTTTCGTCCAAGTTACGTAAAAACACTGGACGTGATGATTAGAAAACGGAGTCTCTGTGTTCTCAAATTGATTCTTCTATTTAGGAATGCCTTCTCTGTCACACACACACACACACTGTAGGTGGACCTACACACTGATATACATGCCTGAGTGCACACACACACACACACACACACACACACACACACACACACACACACACACACTCACTCGGACACAGAGTCAGAACGCCCTCTTCGCCTCAATGCAACCAGAAGACAATCAATAGTGAGGGCAGGGCACAGTACTGTTCTCCATCACTACTATCACACACACACACACACACACACACACACAATCACTATTCTCTCTCTCCTTCTCTGTCAGATCAATGACTGTCCGCT